TTAATCTGTAAATAGCAGGAAATCCCAATCACATTCCCAAATGCACAAGCCATCCTGCATTAAAGCCCCTCACCCCTCTCAGCTGGGGTAGCACCAACCTGTGAGCCTCAGGAGAGCCAGTGCAGCACAGCAAGCTCCACTTCCAAACAACCTTTCTCCAACAGGAATAAGGACAGACCCAAGAGGAGTTTCATATCAGTAATTAAACCTGAAAGGAGATCCACACTCCTTGACCCTCCCCGGTTCACGTGCTGGACCATTTCCTTGCAATCACCCTATTTTGGTGAGGCAGAGGTGGGAGAAAGGCTACAGATGCTATCAGACAAAGAGCTGGTCCCCCTTACTGCTGCAGATGGTGGAAGCAGAATCCTCTTTCTTTTCACACTATCAATTAAGCAATGTTGCCAAACCCACATCAGCTTCTCAGTCAAACATTTCATTTCTCAGCAGTCTGTGTGAAGTTTGAAAGCTACAGTATGTTCTGCCAGCGGCCTCCAGAAAGCTGCTTTGCATTGTTTTGCTTAAATGGCTACAAAAGTGCTGTCAAAGAGGCACTGTCAACTGCAGCTTTTGTGTTTATGTCTTTTTACTTAGGGAGAAAAAAAAAGGAAAAAGAAACAAAACCTTTTGGAGTTGAAAGAACTGATTTCTGCTTGTTTTATCAGTCCTTTTTACATTCCTTTGGCAGACATTGGATTTTCCTCTCTGCTATTCACAGTGCAACCATATTCAATATTGAATAGACCTCTTTGACAGTTTTGAACCTGTTCCATAAGATTCCAAATGCACTGATTCATGGGCACTTGCAAAGATCCTACAACATAAAAAAAAAAGAGTCTACCCCGACTCAAGAATTGTTTTGCATCAGGATAATTTAAAACTTCTGCTCCTTCATCTGTATGATATCTCAGAGCCAACAAGAACACTTTCATAACTGATTTGTCTGCCTTACACACCAAGAGGATACAACAGCAAACACTCACTGTCTAGAAGTCAAGAAAATCTAATTATCTAATATTATAAAGGTTCTTCTTTTGTCTTCCAGCTCCAAAATGGGGGCAAAATGCTGGTCTTGGAAAGAATAAAATATGAGTCTCATATTTTAATGAGTGCCAGTGAGAACCCAGCACTGAACACATCCAAACACACAGGCTGCATTTCTGTTCTATGGTGTAGATTTTTTATTTGCTGCACACTCTCACAGTCTGAGCTTCCCAGCAGCCTGGGAATATTTTCTTCCTTGAGTATGCCCTCCACTCCCCTAATGCTGCTCCTCTGAAAACCAACACCATGGTAGAAACATTGCTTATGATTTAAAACTGCTCCTGTTTTCATACTTTGGGGGTAATTCCAGCCTGATCTTCACTTTGGAGAAGCAGATGTGAATCTGTGTGAATTAATAAATGACAGTGGAGACGATCACACTAATGTGTTACGAGTCTAAATGTGGAAGCAGCTTTTCTCAGCTGCTTCCAAATGCAGTGGTGGGTACATTTTCCATTCCATGGCCAGCATAAAGGAAATAAATAAAGCAGAGATTCCCAATTTGTTGTTCACGGATCCACTGGAGTCTGCTGACTTCCAATTCCCACATAAGCAGTGAAATCTACGGTCACTGAGCTTGGATTCAACACATAAGAGCCAACATGTCCTACTGGAAATTTTTTTGGTAGCCCACAAAGGAAAAAAAGGATGAAGCCTACTGAATGCTAAAGCACATACAAATAGAGCATTAGATCTCTCACATATGTCCTCCTAGGAAAAAAATCCCACAGAAAGCACTAGGAATTAAATCTATAGAAATGTAATACAGCTCTATGGAATTTCCTCTGAAGGCCTATAGAATTTACTACAGCAGGGAGTCCTTTTCAGAGCCCCTTTTTTCAGACAACTTGCAGAAGGATATGATTCTAATGAATGGGGTTTTTAAAAAAAAGTAATAGATTGACAATAATCTTCTATTAAATTATTTTCCATAGGAGTATTGACAGCCATAGCCATTAACATTATTTTATAAAACTGGAGGGATATATTGATCAGTGGATCCATTCTGTCCTGTCACAGAGAACTCGGGCAATTTATGATGCTATTCATTGTCAGGCAAAGGGTTTTGTTCCTTTTTTTTTTTAAACATCTGGTGTCCCTTGAATAATTACTTTAATTAAAATAAGAGACTATTTTATATGCTTTCCTTGACAAGAACTTTGCCTTTATGCTCTCTGGCAAATTCACTATTGCTGCTGTGTAAATACAGCAACACTTATTGGCCATTTGATACTTTCCATGGGTTTTCTGTGATTTAAGATGCAATGTTCCTCTGGGATTCCCAGCTCTTGGACTTTGTCTGCGCCTCCCCAGATCACATGGAAAAGAGAAGCTGGAATAGCAGGGCTTGGTGATGAACAAGGGGTTGGTTCCAAGGGAAGGGACAGCACAGCTCCTTGCACAGAGAGTGAAGTACAGGCAGCCAAAGTGGAAAAGGAGAGGGAATCACAGAATTACGGAATCATTTGGACTGGAAAACCCTCTCTGACCATTGAGGTCAGCACTGCCAAGGCCACCACTAACCCATGTCCCCAAGTGCCACATCCACAGGCTTTTACATCCCTCCATGGTGGGGACTCCACCACTGCCCTGGGCAGCTGTGCCAGGGCTGGACAGCCCTTTCAGCGAAGTAATTTTCCCCAATATCCAAACTAAACCTCCCCTGGAACAACTCGAGGCAGTTTCCTCCTGTCCTGTCTCCTGTTCCCTGGGAGCAGAGCCTGACCCACACCTGGCTCCACCCTCCTGCCAAGTTTCCTTGCCCTCACGGGTGGGTGACAAAGGAACTGGGAAGAGGTGAGGATACAGGCTCCAGGAACTCCTCCTGCCCCAGCCTTTTCCCCTTCCAGTTATGGATGATGGAGGAAAAATTGTAATGAAAACAACCTTTCACGCCTTGCAGTGCAGGGTTTTGTGAACTGATGAAAACATCCCGTAGAAAGCATTGAGTAAATTTGTTTTGCCCGTTTTCTCTCGATCCTCATTAGTTTTATCCTTATCATCATCTCTAATCCTTCCCACAGTGAGGTGGCAGAGTCAGTTTTGTAAGGATCTATCAGAGAAAAGCAAAAACCTGGGAAGGAAAAGCTCTTTCTGCCTTTGATGATGCAAATATATCTGGAAAAAATTTTCTTTTTATTTTATTTCTTGTTGTCTCCTCAAGTGTCCTTCATTTCATCTCCCTCACTTTACCTAAATATTGTCTAACTGCAGGAAGGAAAATATTGAACCCCACCAAATCTGGGGAGTTGACTTCACAGGAGCCTGAGCCTGGTATTTTATTTTTTTGAAGGAAAAATGTCTGTGCTCTCCATGCTAAATCCAGGGAAGTCAGTGGCCAAAATCCTAATGCCTTACTTCCCTGGGAGCAGGATTCAGCTCAGCAGGGATGGACAGTAGCTAAGCTGCCACCTCCCATTCCCTGGAGATCTTCCCAGGGCAGCAGTAATCAAAATAATTCATTTGCAGTTCTAAGCCTTTGATGCATGACTGCTGAGAAAGAAGATTTGCGAAAGCTGTGACAAACTTACACCTCAGCTTTCTGAAAAGGAGAAAAAAAATCTGTTACTGGAAAATTTGCCAATTTTTTCCCTCTAGCCCTTAATGCACAGCAATCCATTTGACCGTATAATTATTACTTAAAGGAAAGGAGTTGGTAAAAGAAGCGTAATTTATGCAGATGAACAAGGAAACAGATGAGAAATACAGAAGAAATATTAGCAGGAAAACACAAAATAACACAGAAACATTGCTGTGAACTGCTGTCAGACCTAAATCAAAGTCAGAAAGGAACACAGATTATGCCACCATCAGTTTTTGTTGGAGGAGGAAGAATCTTGGCAATCAAGATTATCTGATAATTACCTTTCTTAATGCATTAAATTCACTCAGCTTCACCTTCAGGCATTTAGCTGAAGAAAATAATGACACACATCCTCATGTTTAATGGTTAAACTCTATTTCCAAGAAATCTATTACATGTGGTGTCATCCAGAAACCCACACAATAAAGCATCTTTAAAAGAAGCACTGATAGAAAAGGATGGGGTTTGGAAACACAAAAAGCAGTTGTTTGCATCAAAATATTTTAATGTACAGGCTTTATTAATACTAATGAAAGTTTGATTGTCTTTCCTAATTAGCTCCCCACCCTCCTTTGTCAGGATCAGCTGCAGAACAAACCTTCTTCTGCCAGCATCTCAGGATGCATTAGACCTCATTAAACATCATTTTTAAATGAACATTTCATTTAAAAGAGATTAATTTTTAAAGTATGCCAGTGCTTGAAAACGCATCTGTAAAATTATACAGCTGCTGAAGAAATACCTCCACCTCCTAATTCACCAGTATTTATGGACAGATAAGTCCATGTGCTGCTACTAATGAGGTTTGGAGAGTCTGTCTGATAGTCTGCTGGCTCACAAAGGGACTTTGCCAAGTGCCCGACCCCTTTCCCATAGGATGAGCAAACCAGCCTTGGGCAGCAGAACACACATCATCCTCCTGGTCATATAAACACCAGGAAGAATAAATTTAACCTGAATCTGCTTTTAATCCCTTCCTACAGACAAGGACACGTCCCTCACAGGCAGCACCTCCAAGACAAAGTCCTGGTGGTTTGACCCTGATCTCAGGGGAGCAGATGCTCAATCCAGCACATTCCCCATGGTGGAGACTCCTCCACAGCACACTCCTTTCCCAGACCCTATCCACCACTATTTCCAAAGGAGTTATGGAGTTTCACCTTGAAATACTTTCCAGGGTGTTGTTGGAGTATTCTGGGTGTCTGAATTAGTCACACCGGGCAGGAACCAGAACCTTCTATGGCTCACCATCATTGCCATGGAGTCAGCATGGCACAAGGAAAATGGCCCATAGCTGCTTTGTAAATACAGAATGAGACATCATTTTTAGGTAAAGTTTGGGTTGGTCTTACAGAAACTGAGCAATTTTTTTTCCTTAAATGAACAATTTGCACTAAAAAAATGGATACTTCTAGTTGAGAACAAGTGAGGTTTATGTCTTCAGCATGTGCACATTCATGTGCTTCAAGAAGAACTTGAGAAGATGGTTCTTCCCACCTGGATGCCCTTTATCTGATGGCAGGTTTCCCCTACAGCGTAAATTGGACCTTTCTGACAACAAAAGACCAAGAAATTTAAGGTAATCCTTCTCAAACAAGTGGGCTGTGGACTCTGTCATGTCTCCAGCTAATCCACTGAAACACAGAGATGGAAAACTATCAGTCACATCATGTGAAGAACTGCTGTAATAGTGCATAATGAAATGGAATTTCTTACAGGATTTGGGAAAAGAAATTAGAGATTACTAGGACAGCTTATTTCCTTCTGTGCTAATATGACTCTGGTGACTCCCACGGGACTCCTGCCTGTCATCGACCTTAATTTAAGCCAACTCTTCAGCAAAGTCTGGGAGTACATTTGAAAATTTTATAACTCTGCTGAAGTCTCAGTGGAGTTGATGAGATTTGGGCATTATCTTTGGGACCACAAATACTAAAATGGAAGCTGAATTGGCTTTCACTTGTTATCATTTGAAAGTGTTCCTGTTATTTATTTCCAATGTGGATTGCTTAATTAGAAACACAGGTGCATTCACTGGGCTGTATTTTGCTGCTCAACTTAAAAAGCCATTTTTAAACTACTGATACAAAGCAAAACAAATACTTTAATTGGTTTTACTAAGAGTAATTTTAAATTAGTAAATTTTGAGGGGGAATTAATTAATTTCAATTGTACAATACAAATATCTATCTGTTAAGCAAGCACCCACAAAACTAATAGGGGAAAGGAATAAAGCTACTTTCAGTTATTAAACATTACTAAAAGTGATGGAATGGACAGCTTCTGTGTCAGTTGCTAACGATTGGCCATTATAAATAAGATTTTCCCTTCTTTTATATGATATTATTTTGGTTATTTGTTATACAGACTAACAATTAAAATACTCTATTTATGACTTAGAGTGTAATTCTACTCTACCCAAATCAAGCCTCCAGTGTATTTCTCCAGGGTCAACACCTACACAGTTACAAATGCCCAGTAAAGTGGAGGTGAGCAGTGCTGAAGGCAGGTGTCACAAACATTTTGTGCTCCACTTGGAAAAGCCCAACTCGGCCTAAGAGACTCTGTTTATCAGCACTTGGGAATCAGCTGTATGAATGCCCCAGTAGCTTTCCTTGAGCTCTTATGGTGGTGCTGGAGAACAAAAGTAGTTTTTATCATGCAGTTGCTTGCAGCTGATGATCTCATATTATCAGCATATGTGGCATTATCCCTCTTCTGTGCAGGATTCCTGGAGAATGCTGTTAAGCTGGTCCCTCAGCTCTCTCAGGTGAAACAGCCACATTTAAACCCTGATTCTGTGCACATTAGTTACTTCAGCAGATTCCCTGGAGTTTACTGTAGGAGAAAGGCAACCCAGATTTGGTCATTAAATTTAGATTCTTTCTGCTCATCTTATTTACGCAGCCAAAAAAGGTATTTGTATCATTTTTCTTTTCAACGGATGGAATAAAATCAACTGCATAACAAAGTGTCCTTGATCATGAACTATACAAAACAATGCATTTATTTGGAGTTCCAAATACACAAAAGGAGTAAGACAGTGAGTGAAAAATAAACCTGCCAAAAAAGGAAGGGTCTGATTTTCCAGGCATAGTATAGATCATGTTCCTAAAATGACTGGAGCAGTCCTAAAATATTGTTCCAAGGGACATATCCTGGGTCCCTCTGACAGATGTATCTTAATTGTTTACTGACTGAGGTTTTAGGTACCTGCAGGGCAGGCAGTGAGCAGGGGCAGGAGGGTTCATCTCATGTAACTTCTTAACCTGTAATGGAAACCCTGCAGAGACACAGAGAGCATCCAATCTAATGTCTGCATTCACCTCTTCCCAACACCAATATGCAAAATTTAACCTCTAGACAGCAATCCAATACACTGAAGTTAAACATGAGGATGGTCATACTTGAGACCAGAGGTCCATCTCAGGCAGAGTCCTCTCTTTTAGAGTGGCCAGACCACTGCTCCACTCACTATTTGAAAATTGAGGATTTTTTTTAGCAAGAGGTGACTTTTATGGGTTTACTAATCTGTCACTGGGCTTCCTTTAGATGAGAAGATGCATTTCTGCCTCTTTGAGGCTACAGGAAGCAATAGGAACATTCTGGTGTCATTCTCCACGTTGGATCCAGGTTTTAGGGTTGAAAAAGACCTTTAGGACCACCAAGTCCAACTGTGAACCCAGCATTACCACCATGGTCACCACTAAGTTCTGTGCTTAAGAGCCATATCTACATATCTTTTGAACAATTCCAGGAATGGTGACTCCACCTTTTCCTCTTCCAGGTCCTCCAGGTTTCTTCATCTCCGAGAGTGCTCATCCAACAGATTGGCAGCAGTGGGTGTCTCATTTGCATGGGACAAAGGAGGTGGCCCTGTGTTCCAGGCACTGAGGGCAATGGAATCGACCTCACAAGGAAATGTTCTCTCCAGGAGACACTCAGCTTGAGAGGACTCTGCCTTTCCTCCCAGCACTGCAGGTGGGCATCCACAGCTCAGGAGCTCAGACATCTCCCTCCCACCACAAGCCTGGCACCAGCTGGGCAGGGGGAAACCCTCGCATTTTGGTGCCTGTGCCGGTTTTATATGACACCACCAGTGGCTACCAAAAAAAATCCCAATGCAAAACAAAGGAACCCAGTCCTGGCTCTCTGGCTAAGGGTCCAGAGCAATTTCAAAGGATGTAGGGAATTATCAAATGAATTTAGGTGCCTACCAGGTCAGGCAGTCCTGGGCAGCTGACTGGACTGGTTTGCAATCTGAGACCCTGGGCAGAATGGATTCAAGCCAATATTAATAATTGCTTTACTAGTGGTTAATTGAGGTTCTTTGTTTAGGATCTACAAATTATAATTTAGGGTCTGGGACATCTGTCATTCCCTTCCACAAAAAATTAAAGCACCTGGATGACAGCACTGCTATTTTTCAGTTCCTGTTGAGACATACCAGATTTGGGATCTTGGGGTTTGTAACATGCTTATTTTATGTAGTTCAGTGTTTTCCTTGTTTAATTTGGTCCTTTGGAAATGACTGGAACCACAGATATCCTCTGGGTGACCACCTTTCACCAGGGGAATCATTCATCAGCAATACAACCAATTTTGCCTACATTAAAAAGGAGCATGAGAATTCTACACCACCATTTTTCCACTTTATTTGTGCAATAATGTAAAAGCCCAAACCAACTCAGAATTATGCAAAATACCAGGACACGAAGCATCTAATTACATTCTGACTTTACTGCTTTCCAACACCCTAAGTCAAAATAGGTGAACTATGAAGAACATGAAATAATTGCAATCATTATCACATAAAATGTACTGTACACGAATTTAGAGTGGTTTTGGGCTAAATCTATCTTTAGCTTAGCCCCATGGTATAAAGTCCCATTTATGCTAATAATTCCAAACCCCAGATCAGGGGAGTGCAGCAGAGCTTGATGAAAGCCAGATTTTGGGGGTGGCTGGAGTATTTAATTCCTATGGTGCATGAGAAACTCCTCTGCCTAAGAAATAGAGGATATTATTCTGTTGATGTTACCTCTGGCAGAGCCTCATGGAAGACAAGTGGTAAAAAAGGAATCGACCTCTCAAGATCTGGGCCTTGCATTGCTGAATTTTCATGATTATATATCGAGATAGAGAACTTTAATTGCTTATATCTGTGCAAAATTTTATGAGATCTTCTACAACCCTGCAGTTCAATCCATTTGCTCTTAAAATCACCCTCTTAAATAAATTTTTAAGAAAACCCTCAGCTCAGCTCTACTCTTTTATCCTTTATTTATGCTTTGTTTAAAATTATCAGAGTTGATAAGACTGAGCGAGGTTGCTTTGCACCTCTCAGAAGATGTGTGCACATTAAACATATTGGCAATATTTATTTATTCTGCCATCTGTCCCACCAGCTCCACATTCTCAACAGTTTGGCCTAGAGAGGGCCAAAAATCACCTGAGCATCATAAAGCGAGTCCCCGGCTGTCAGCAGAACACATTGAGCCCACAGCTGCTGTCCTGCTGCCTGATTTAATGAGGTTCCTAAAGTATGTGGACAAGGATTCGGGCTCCGGGTTGCCATGGCGATGGGAGCGGGCGCTGGGAGCGGGTGTGGGCAGCATCCCGATCAATAGGGATCAGCTCACGGCCCATCGGTCCTGCCGCACGGACACGCCGGAGCGCGGAGGTGGGAGAGCGGCTCTGCCCTGACGGCCAGGCTGGGCTCAGGACACGGGCCCTGTCCAAGGGGCAACACTCTGCACTGAGATAAACGCCCTGTTGGTTGCTCTGTCTGTCTGTTCTCCCATCGCTTTGCAAACAGAGTGTTTCGCATCCTCTGAACTCCATCGCTTCCCTCAGGTCCCGAGAGAAACTCAGAATCATAGAACATGCTGAGTTGGAAGGGACCAAAAGGATCATTGAGTCCAACTTCTGGCTGTGTGCAGGACACCCCAAGAATCCCACCATGTAGCCTGAGAGTGTTGTCCAGACTTGGTCAATACTACGTTCCCAGGGGAAAGGATCCTTCCATGGTTGACTCAAACACCATCACAGTCTACAATTTCCTCGGGAGGGGCAGAGAAGTGGCAGGCACTGAGCTCTGCTCTGTGGGGACCAGGGACAGGACCCCAGGGAATGGCCTGGAGTTGTGCCAGGACAGGTTTAGGTTGAATATTAGAAAAAGGTTCTTCCCCCAGAGGGTGGTTGGGCACTGAACAGGCTCCCCAGGGCAGTGGGCACAGCACCAAGGCTGACAGAGCTCAAAGAATGTTTGGATGATGCTCTCAGGCATATGGTGTGACTCAGGGGATGGTCCTGTGCAGGGCTACGGGTTGGACTCGATGATCCTTGTGGGGCCCTTCCAACTCAGGATGTTCTGTGGGTCCATAATCTCTGAATTTCCCATCACTTTTAGCAGCACATTACTACACTAGAGCAGTGTCTATGTTTCTGAGGTCAAAGGCTTTTCTACTAAGTCAAGTCACCTGTTTTCAGAAGACGAACACTCGTGTGCAATCTGTGATTCATGTAGAAGTTTCCTCACCCAGAAAGAACTAAAAACCAGAGTAGCAATCCAGTGACAGGGAGAAAACACGTCATGCCAAATAATTCAAGTTGGATTCCCACGCGCTTCCAGCACAGCACACAGGGACAGATTTTTTTTTTCCACGTATTTTAAAAACTAAAATATCATAAGTGTATTTTTCCTCCTGTGCAGAAGCATGAAAGGCATAATTTTAGCTATTTACGTATATCCGGAGCACTCAAACCTGAATGAAAGGTTGACTCAGAAATTCATACCCCCCAAAAAAACCCAACAGTTAAACATATTTTAATGATTAGTCCAAATCTCGTTTTACCACCTGATAGTCTTTCAAGATTATGCTTCAAATTTAAAGGAAGTAGCTTTTTGCCCCTTTCCCACCCCTTCTGACAGGAGCATTCAGACATGATCTTCCAGTCTGGAATATTAAAGCCCAAACAGCACCATATCAGGCGGATTAGTCACACATGTTTACATTGCATTGGCCATTCAACCCTTCTTGTCCTCAGATGGATCTCAACAATACAGCAAACAGCTCCACTGTGTAACAACCAAAGTGGGTAATCAAGGCCTCTGAACAGAGAGGGAATTAAGGGGTTTGGAGTTTCTGTGAAAGCAGCAAAAGATGTCATCAAAGTTGGTACAAACTGACATTTAAGGAAGCGTCACGTCAAGTCTCAAAAAATGGTATAAATATGTTGTAAGGTTAGATGAAAAAGCACAACATCATGATGACAAAAATTTAATCCCTCTGGGATCACCTTAGAAAATAGGATCCACATTTCAAGCAAAGAAATTCCCCAAATAACCCATTCCTCTCCACATGAAAAAGCATCAATAATCAGACCTGTTCTCGACATGGCATTTTGTCACTCATCGAATCCTCTGTATCGAGAGACTGAAAACAAATTCCAGAGGAATCCACTGAGGGAGCTGGAATTCCCTTCTGTAGAAACTAATACTGTCATTTTTCTACAGTTCTGAGCAGATGTTACAGCTTAAGCTGCTCACCAAAACGAAGCCTTCAGTGCTAAGCCCTCAGGAGCTTGTAGCACCAGCGATGCAGCGTGGACAGCACAGCCCGTGTCACTCTGTGGGATGTCACTCATCCAGGTTGGGACTGGTGCAAACACAGCAAACAAACACAGCCCACACACTTTCGTTTACAGCTGGTGATTTATTTTATGCCATTTACCACAGTGAGAGGTTTCATCAGGGATCTCTGACAGACTGGATTTCCTCATCAAAATGGTACCATCTTCAAACATAGAGTGTTGTTTTCCTAAATTTCCTTGTCCAGTTTTCCCGTGGCAGATAGAGAGGACAATGGACATCTACAACTTGAAGGATTGCTTCAGTTAAAGGAATTTGTGAGCTTGAGCCAGTCCAAAACATGCTGATCTACAGAACAAAATCCACAGCTCTGCTGGTGCTCGCTGCCAGTCCTGGTCAGTCCTACCAGTTGTAGGAAGAGGAGACTTAAGGGCAAAGGCACATGTAAAGTCTCTCCAGTGAGGAGTGAAGCATTTCAACCCTGCATCACAAAGACACATCTCATCTTGGCAACCTGTTCTTGGCAAGAGGCTACTTCTGGCATGACATTTCATTTATTACTTTTCAATCAGATTGGGTTTTATGGCATCTTTGTGACATCATTGGCTTCCTTTGAGTTGTTGGAATGGATTAAGCTAGGAAAAAGAATCTACAGTTCACTTGGAAACGGTGCTGAGGGCTGGTAACATCTTACCCTGTGACCACATGGGCTTCAGTGGCTGGTCATGAAATGCTGCAGTTCATGCAAAACATCATCCCACTGTTTGCACAGAACCTGGCCCTACCAAGCAAAGTCAAGGCTAAAAGATCAGTACCAATCTCTGCACCTAACCAGATATTCATATTACTCCAATTGCCCAACTTAACAAAATTGTGTTTGCTCTACCTGACAGCTGTGTAGTATTTCTGTGATGCCCAATCCTCATTTAAACAGGAAATAAAACTAATGGCACTGACCTTGCCATTGCAAAGGCAAAAAGGTCTGTTATTGAACTTGGTTCAAGGTTCAGAACACACCTGAAGGAAAAGGTAGCACTGACAAAAACTGACTCAGCTGCCCAAGGGCAGGCAAATGAACAATTGCAATGTGGTCTGAGACATTCAGTTTACTGCAGGAGCAGATGAACGGGTGGAAAATCATCGACTGATCTGCTCATTGCTTTTCTATATTGCACTATGAGTCTTTCTTTTCACCAGGAGCCTCTAACCTGGGTTGAACTTCTCAGACTGATCAGCCCAGAGCATCCACTGGGATGGCAGCAGAAACTTCCTGTAAAGGGGCACTAGGATAAAGGAGTTAATGAAAGCCTTCCCTGAAAACCTAAGGCTGGTGTCTCCACTGCCACCACCAGATAACTTGAAAGTCTAATCCTACTCAGTTATTTCTGCAGTGCTGATTTCCACACAAAGCATTTCTCTAAAGCTGAGAGGTCCAGAAAACTCTGGCTTGAGATTACTCTTTTTTCATTTCTATTTTATGAAATATACAGAAACTTTAAAATAAAATTTAAGTCTTTCAGACTGAGGTTGTTCTCACAATATACAGACTCCAGATTTGTTGTTGTAAGTGAGAGCTCTGTTCCATCTTCTGCACAAAGACACAATTCTGACTTCTCTCTCAGGTTGGATATTAAAAGTTAACTTCAAATCCCTTCATGAAATGGATGTTTATTCTGAGGGTTTTTATGTGCAGTTTTTGGCATAGTGTGATTTGGTTTATACTTACTTTTCCCCACCATAGCTATAATCTCCTCTTTCAGGATAGTGAAGCGTTCTCTAATTGGCTTTTATTTTGCTTCATGCACTCTTTGCACCTCATAACAGAGCTCTAAAGAGCTCTCATTCTGCTGAAAAAGTTCCTGTGGAGGCTGTGCTTGCTATAAAATACGATGGGATCAGTTAAGCGAGACGATTCTCCAAACACACATCACCAACATCAGTCTCCAGGAGTCTGTATCTCAGGGAAGCGTCAGTCCATAATAAGTCCATATACAACAGGGAGTGATGCCATCAGAGCATGTCCTACTGAAACACTTGTTCTTATGAAGTCCGTGAATATTGCTTTTAAGTGTAAAAAAAGTAATCTATTCTAGAAAGACACTTATGAACAGAAAGGGGGAAAGAATACTCTCTGATCTCTTGAGCCGAGCTCTCAAGACATCAATGACTATGCACTCATTTATAATCTCCACTAATTTACTGGCTGCCCTAGAGACACACTTTGATCTTTGGGAAGATCTACTGTATCTCTCTGCTTTGCAACAGGCAATAAAAACTGTAACCCCTTATAATAAAGTGGTCTAAATAATGTAGTCATAGCATCTAGCCCCCAATTCATCAAGGAAGATGCCACCTTCCACCCTACATTCATGGCATAAATATTCATCACCAGCGTGGGAAGGCTTGGCTGTGTACAACAAGTTTTGTAGGAGATGTCCTTTCTCTGCAAGCACATGTGCTGTGTGAAAGTCTGTATAATTAATGTCAAGGATCAGTGCTACGAAAAACAAAACCAGAAAACTCAAACAAAACTCAGAAAAAAGCAAGGCCCCAGAGCTGACAGACATTTTTTAATATTTTGGCCTAAATAATGAATAAGGCTCCTAAACAAACACTCTTAGGATTAGCCAAGATTATGAATGTTTCAATACTGTAAAACAATAAAAATCAAAGCCAAATATAACAGCATTATTTAGCATATGGTACAGATAGAGGAAGGATAATAAACTAATTTGAAGAGCTAAAAGTCACCCATTATAGTTTCTGAATTTGTAGATCCTTTGTACAGCTATTGGGGCTGCAGGGAATCCCATGGGAAGCATTTTTCTTAATTGTGTATCTAAATTTCATTTTGCTGGAATAAAACAGATTAAATGTTTTCTGCAGTTAGAGGGATGAGGCATAAAGCACCACCAAGAACCCCAGATCTTCTCTTCA